CATGGGGTGTCGGGGTGTGCCATTCTGGCGCATGGGGTGTCGGGGTGTGCCATTCCGGCGCGTGCGGTGTGCCATTAGGCACATGGGGAGTTGGGGTGTGCCATTCCGGCGCATGGGGTGTCGGGGTTTGCCATTCCGGCGCATGGGGTGTGCTATTCTGGCGCATGGGGTGTGCCATTCTGGTGCTTTGAGTGTCGGGGTGCAAATCCAGTGCCACTGGGTATCAGGGTGTCGCTGTTGGAATGCATTGTGTGCCATTGGGTGTTGGAGTGCCAGCTGGTTGTACCGGGTGTTATTGGGGTTCAGGGTGCCACATGCGTGCTAGTCAGGTCTATTGGATGTCAGGATGCCGGTGGGGTGCGTAGGATGTCATTGAGTGTCAGGGTACCACCTGTGCTTTAGAGGTTGGGGTGCCAGTAAAGATGCATTAGGGCTGAGGGTGTCAGAGTGCCAACTGGGTGTTTTGGGTGTCAGGGTGCTGGTCAGGTGCATTGGTGAAGTGTGCACTGGATGTTGGTTGCAGATCTTGCCCCTAAGTGTAGACGCGAGATGCCTGTCAATCTCGCATAGGGTTCATGTAAATTATGCTGTGTGGTGGTGTGTAGTGTTTTGAGTGAGTGGGAGTTTCCATCTGGTTGCATTAGGTCATTCTGGGGCAATCATGGATGTGCTGATGGTGCAGGGCTGGCACAAGTTGCTTCAGGCCCTGGCATGATGGTCACAGTTAGTTGAAAGCTGGTGGAGGCACAGATGTTTGAGAAGTTACTATTGCATCCAGGAGGGTGCTGGTAAACTCTGACTCCACTGTTGCCAGGGGACTAACTGTGAACATAATTCGCAGTTCTGTGATTCAGATGTAGCCTATGTTCAGAAACGCTCAAGGACTTTGATTTTGCCTGTTAGGTGACTAGAATAGTGAAACTTGCAGGGTCCCAGCACTTCCTCATTAATTTGAGTTCACACTTTGTGTTGGTAGCACTTCCGATAAATCCATGTACCACTTCTGCTTTCGAATTGTTGAGAGATATGTTCATTCAGTATGTTTGCAAGTGCAAATCAAAGTCTATTTGCTGCATTGTTTAGCTACAGTGTTTTGGCATTTAGCGTTATAGGTAATATCACTCTAGCACGTGAGCTCGAGATAGGATCAGGAAGAGACCATTTGACCTGTTCCTCCATATTGTTCATGGCAGATCTTGGACTTGGAATCAATTTGCTGCTCGCTTCTCCTACTCCTTGATTCTTGAGAGACTGATCCCAAGCTGATCTATATTCAATAATGGAGCTTCCCAACCCTCTGAGGGAAAGAATTCCAAAGATCTGCCAACCACAGAGTGAAGGAACTTCACCTCATCTGAGTCCTAAACGATCAGCCCCTTATCCTGAGACTGTCAACCTCCCACACCCTTCTGTGTTCTAGATTGTCTGACCACTGGAAACAAGCTCCTGTCAAACTCCTTCAGATTTCAATGTGATCGCCTCTCATTTTTCTAAATTCCAGAGAATATTGACCTAATTTACACAACCCCTCAGTCTATCGGGCAACCCCTTCACCCCAGGATTCAATCTAGTTGAACCTTCGCTGTCCGACCTCCAATACAAGCACGTCCTTCCTCAGATACGAAGACCAGAATTGCGTACAATATTCCAGATGAGATCCGACCAAAACCGTCTAACAATTGTAGCAAAACACCTTTATTCCTGTACTCCCAATCTGCCTGTAATAAAAAACAGCATGCCATTTGTAGTGTAAAATGCAGTTGCCAAGCCATTTGAGTGTCTCTTCTAAAAATACTGTGTCCTGTCTGTGCTCCAAACCATTGACCCAATCCATTTGAGACAAGGCATGCAGAACGAATTGCAATGTGTAATTTTCACGAACCACTGGCAATATTTACTATTGTAACTGCTTATTCTCGCTCCTGGCAGGGACAATGCATGCTCCACTGCACAATCAAGGGTTTCTAGTAGTTAGACGATCCACCTATGTGAGAAAAGTTTCAGCATGGAGCAGTCCCTCACAACTTAGGCCTGCAGTCATAGATAACTGTGAGGTGCTGCATTTTGGAAAGGCACGTCAAGGCAGGACTTAATGGTACAGTCCTGAGGAGCATTGCTGAACAAAGAGACCTTGGGGTGCAGGTACATAGTTCCTTGTAGGTGGAGTCCCAGATAGACAGGGTAGTGAAGAAAGTGTTTGGCATGTTTGCCTTCAATGGCCAGTGCATTGAGTATAGGAGTTGGGAGGTCATGTTGCGGCTGTACAGGACATTGGTTAGGCCACTATTGGAATACTGTGTTCAATTCTGCTTTCCCTGCTATAGGTAAGATGTTGTTAAATTTGAAAGGGTGTGGAAAAGATTTTCAGGGCTGTTGCCATGGTGGGGGGGAGGGGGGGAGGGTTTGAGCTACAGGGAGAGGCTGAATAGGCTGCGGCTGTTTTCCCTGGAGCATCGGAGGCTGAGGGGTGACCTTATAGAGGTTTGTAAAATCATGAGGGGCATGGATAGGGTGAATATGTCAGGTCTTTTTCCCAGGGTAGGGGAGTCCAAAACTAGAGGGGCATAGGTTTAAGGTGAGAGGGGAAAGATATAAAACCGACCTAAGGGGTAACTTTTTCACACACAGAAGGTGATGTATGTATGGAATGAGATGCCAGAGGAAGAGGTGGATGTTGGTACAGTTACAACATTTAAAAGACATGTGGGTGGTTATACGAATAGGAAGGGTTTAGTAGCATAAGTGCTGGTAAATGGAACTGGATCAGTTTAGGATATCTGGTTGGCATTGATGAGTTGGGCCGAAGGGTGTGTTTCCATGCTGTACAGCTCTGTGACTCTATGCAGTCTGACAATGCCTTGAACTTATTTTTGTCCTTATGCTTAGATCCCTCCATGCCCCCGAATCTCTCCTTAGTGTAGCTTAACTTTGGAAGTGGGAGTGCTCATATGTTTACAGCCACTTCTGCATCCCCAATTTCCATTGCTGCATTACTGACGGCTGTGCCTTCAGCTATCTCTGTGCAATTCCTTGTCTAAAACCATTGTGCCTCTCTCTCTCTTCCTCGAAACCTACCAAACAGTTGGTCGCCTATCCCTTTGCCATACTGGTATTGGAGTGCTTCCCACATGAAGGTTTAAGATTACAGCTGCCTTTGAGTGACCTGCTCCACCTGTGTTCAAATTTATTCTGCACTTGTGTGAGTTTGGTTCGTAGTGTTATTAGATCTGATGAATGTGGTTATGGTTTTAAAACCCATCTTAAACCCGTGGTGGGGGGGGAAGAAAGGACAAAAGCTTCGCCTTGTATTGTCGGAGGTGAAGTTTGCCAGAGGCTTGTTATCATAATCTTGCCCACCTGTTCAGGACAGGTTCTGAGAAGGATCCCGTGCAATATTTGAGTAAGGGCTGAGATTTCTGTGGTGTCTTGACAAGCATTCTTCTGTCAGCCAGCACCCAGAACTGATTACCTAGTAGTGGTTCTACCACGTTGAATTGTGTGTTTGCAATTTGCCTGTCTTGTTTCCTGATTGAGTGGCGATTAGTCAGTAAGAAAACACGCAGTGGTGATACAGCGACACGTGTACCACTGGTAGATACATTTCAGTTCTTTGCCATTTGGTCCCTTGACCCAGTGGTGCAGCACAGAACCCTTTCCGTGGATTGATGTCTTACCAGGGTGGACAGGCCCGAGTATTCCAATGATGCCGAGAGCGATGCTGTCAAGGACTGGCTGGGTCACCCATGATGGCCAAGTCAGAATTGGATACATCGCCATCCAGAACAAGCCCTCAGCAGCGATTCAGACAAAAGATATTCACGTGATATCAGCAACTGTGACGGTGGATGAAGGCCACAGGAGATCCCCAGATCCCCAGGCGTTGAGGCTTCCTTACCACTGAAACTGGATCTACCTTTTGTCAAGGACCGTATGTCTGCTGACGTACGCCGACATTCCCATGTTAAAAGATGACCTGCACAAAATGTGTACCTAGAAGATTTCAGTCCACTCCCCCTACAAACCACAAGCCCTGTGACAGTTGAGAGGTGATAGGGACAGGATTGCGAGATATGCAAGGTCCTAACTTTGGACTGGCACATGGGTGGTGGAGTTTAACTCAGTTGTTTCTCTCCTGGAATAGGAACAGAGCATTTCAGCAGCTTTCCTCACGCCCGATTGACTCTGCTCACCCCCCACCTGGGGGAACGGGCTGGTAAAGGTGCCCTAAAAATAATCTGTTCCATCGTCAACCCGACTGGAAATCCGCATCCTGCAGGCTCGTTAATCTGCGGTTGGAAACTCAAAACTCAGTCTCCGAATCTGGAATGTACAAATCCTCGTGGGCCACATATGAGGAAGCTCGGAAAAGGAATGCCAGCGATGGCAAGGCCAAGGATCAACTCCATCTCCTGGAGACACCCGCGGTTGGAGACCTGGATGTAGGAATGGACTCATCAACCACACACAACCCATGACCGGTGACGCAGAATTTCCGAGGTGCGCGGCCGTGCAGTCATCCTAGTTAGTGAGTGATTACCAGCCGCAGCACGCAAGGGAGGCCTTTTGTGACTGAGCTGGCTGTTTGAGAGATCTATCTGGAGCTTCACTCCCTATAAAATCTTGGCAAACGTTTCCCTTGGGATACAGGTTTTAACAGGCTCTTTTGCAAACAGTTCCAAACTGATGATTTCCTGTAGGCTGCTCCCTGAATTGTGAGGACGTGCACTTGTCCATTCGACTTTTTGAGCCTGTTCCAGCATTCAGTTAGGTTCTGGCTGATCTGTACCTGAACTCTGTT